TATCTCAGAAAATAAAAATCGGAACTGCATAATGTAAGCGAGGTAAATGTTCGGAATTTCATCTTCTTTATAATTAGCTACAATTTATAATTTATATTTCATATTATTAATCCCGCCTTTGATATTGATATTATTAATCCCGTTGATGTTTTCACTTCTATCGTGTAGTCTGAAGCACACAACTAAGATTTTTTTAACGGAAACATCATGCGTTTTAAAGCTCCAAAATGTTCAGGTTACGAGATAACGGTTCCAACCTTATTCCAAAGATAGTGAATATTAACATCACTGTTGCCATGGATTCCTAATAACACAAAAATTAAAATACCCTATTTATTGTAGCCTATCTTAACATATTATTTCTCAAAGTTTTTTCTTTCGTAAAACAGATCTCGGTACGGTATGCCGTATTTATATATATATAAGCTTAGATATGTCTAAGCTTCATCAAATACAACGATTGAGCCATCAGTTCAAAAATTATCTTTCCCCTTCAGATGCGAAAAATAACCTCATCCCCCAGAATAGTCAGGAAAAAGGCTATGAATAATAAGAAAATTAACATGCATATAATTAAAAAAATATATAATTTATGATATATTATACCGGTTTATGATTAAAAATAAACTCTCTACAAAATGAAAAGATAAAAATCATCAAAATTGAACCATATTTGGCTAAGATACTGCGCATAGTAATTTCTACTAACTAATTTAGAAATAAATATATTTAAATTTAGTTATTTCCATACTTAATCCATAATTCGATACTATGTGAAGTATTCGTACAGGCCAACTAGTCCTTATTGCTATTGTTTTCACTGTATTTGTATATCGCTTAGTGATCTTTGTGTTGTATTTACATATTAACAAAAAGGGCCAATGAGCTGTGCTTTGCATGAAAATTTGGTGGTAAATACTAGACAGGTTAAAACGTGTTGCAGTTCGAGAAAAAAGATTTGGAGGTGAAAGGATGAATCTATGCCAGCTCAGTTGCAATCGGTTTAATGAAACCTCAAGACCATGAGAGCGACTATTATTTTTGCGTAATGACCAGATTCAAGATGGTACTTATTACATTAATAATCGCAAAACTGAGAATTAAAATATTTTCCATGATATAACCTGATCTTAAAAGTAATTAAAGTTAAAATCTCGGTTCAGTCTCCAAATTAAAAAAAATCCTGAAAAACAAGAGATATTGATTTCGTGTCGTAAAGTTTATAATCTATGAAATGAATTGTTAGACTTTAACAGCTTCATCAACAGCGACAGATAAATCGTTATATATTGATTATAAAAAAGTATCGAAATCGAAAACTAGCTATAGAAAAACTCAATTAGGTCATTTAAATATAAAATAAAATGAAAAAGTATGGAAGAAAATCAATATTAAATGAATAACTAAAAACCTAAATACTCAATGTTGGTCAGCATTTCTGTGGTTGTTGTGCTTACAGAAATAAAGTTAAAAAAAAAAAAAAATCTTTTGTTATTAAAAACTGGAGAAAATAGATTTACTATTGAGAATAAGAGAAAAATTAATTCAATTTCTCAAAATAAAAAAATATAAGAAATCAGAATTAAATTATGACTCCAGAATACAAAATAAAATATAGATATATAAGTTATATATCATATATATATATATATATATATATATATATATATATATATATATATATATATATATATATATATATATATATACACATAGGTTATATACTCTTTCAAAAATTAAATTTTCATTGTTAACAAAAAAAATGGTTACTACACGATATATTTAAAATAATAATTAAACCAATATTTCTCAGGCGTTGTGTTTAAAAATAATTTCACATTTATGTGATTCCATTACAATTTACAGGGACATGACAATCATTTAATAATAAGAATGATTACTACCAGTATACCTGAAAGCAACACGAGGAAGCTGAAAAGGTTGTGGACGAGAGACCTTCTGTAAAATAATTTTATTCTAGTCTAAAATAGTGCCAGGGAAGAGATACCACTGGGTATTTTTCTTCCTTGCGCCAGACATGACGTTATTATAGTATTAATGATTTGACAGGCTATCCACTGATTGTCAATGTTGTATTCGACAGGTGGGGATAAATAAATGAAAATAAAAATGTTTTTACGTGATAACAATAATGTGAATTCCTGTAGACATTGTTGTGAAATAAATTAAAATTTATTTATTGAGAGATATAACAATCTGTCACAATTGAGGACATTTATAATAGAGTTCAAAGAGCACATTCACACTCTATTTTTAATTGCATATTTTTTCTTTATTTATTTTTTTTAAATATAGGTTTCTAATTTTCTCCCTTTTTTTGTCGAATCTGTTAAATAATACAACTGTATAAAACTGAGATTAGTATACGGCATTACTAATGAACCTTTTGATAGAAAGAGTCAACTAATAAAAAAATTTAAATTACCTACATGCCATTATGTTTTTTCCCCCACTGTCATCCCATACACTGGTTATCATTACCATTATGACAGGTGTGAATAAAAAAATAAAAGTTAAAAAAATAGTTTTGAAACACTATATACTATTTCTTCGAAACAATAATTTGATCAATCAAAATAAAATGATACAAGAGAGACATCGCAGTAACCAGGCCCGCTGATGTCTTGATACCCTCAGCCCCAACCAGCCAATACCACGTCAGTTCTTTCTGACATCTCAAATCCTATATCACCAGCTCCTATTTCGCCTCTTTTTTTTCTCTTCTGGCCCCGTCCAATTGCGGTCGCTAGACTTAATAGAATAAGAAAAATACTGGATCAAATGGACAAAGAAAATAAGGGACAGAGAAAACAGAGAATCGAGAAACCATTTCGTAATGTTGAAACCGGGAAAAAAACTAACAAACTATTTTTATTGAAAGTTTCCTTGAAAATACTGCTTAACATTTGTTTGTTCGAATATTACCTCCGGGAAAAGAAAATTGGATAAACAAAGTAAAAAAATGTGTGTATATATATTTTATTTTTTTCTGTTGGATTACAGACCATGTAGATTTTATGCCGCCATAACAAGCCTGCTCCATCGCTGCCTGTCGTGGGCTATTTCTTTCCATTTATCTTCATACAGCTCTGTTACATCTTTGTTGATTCTATCTATCCATCTGCCTTTTGGCCTTCCACAAGGTCTTTTGTATTCTATTGAGGCATTCATTGTAACGTAGAGGCTTCCAGATGGATTGCTACGAGCTACATGCCCCACCCATCTTAACATTAACATTCATTCCATCAACATTCTTAACATTCATTTCATGGGACATGATTGACCAGTTTCTGTAAGCAGTTCTTTATTGGTATTTTTTCACACACTTTAATACTTTTTTCTAGAGTGCTGGTTAGTGTACAGGTCTCACATCCATATATTAGAATTGGCTTTATTGCACACAATAAGTTTGAGATTTTTCGGGATTTTAATATCTTTGAGAAGGAGAATAAAGCTCTGTTTGCGCTAGTTATACGCTGGTCTATTTCTGCTCGTTAGTTATTCATCGAGGTTATTTCAGAGTCGAGGTATTTGAATTTCCTTTTTTGATTTTCCTTCGACGCAGATCCTTGGGAAGGAATTTTTGGCTTATTATCATATATTATGTTTTGTCTTCATTTACTTGTATACCGATCTGCTCTTCCTATCTTATCAGTATTGTAGCGAGTTTCTCAACGTCTTCTTGATTACTTCCAAATACAGTTATATGATCTAAGTATACAAGGATTTTATAATTCATTCAGACTGGTCCCTCCATTTTCCTGTGATGTTGCTCTAATTATCTTCCACAAGGCTAAGTTGAACAACATTTAACCGGCTTACTTGTAGGCCAATATGCTCTTCCTATCTTATCAGTATTGTAGCGAGTTTCTCAAGCCTTCTTGATTACTTCCAAATACAGTTATATGATCTAAGTATACAAGGATTTTATGATTCATTCCGACATAGACTCCTCCATTTTCCTGTGATGTTGCTCTTATTACCTTCCCCAGGGCTAAGTTGAACAACATCGGTGATAGTCCATTTCTCTGCCGTAAGCCAAATATATCTTTTTATTTGTAATACATTTTTTTTAAACCCATAAATTTATGTTATGGAAAATCATAGGGAACATCACTAACATTAATTGCTGCTAAATTTTATTTTTCTTCTCATTATTATTGTTCAGTATGATTTTCCATACATAAAATTAATGGGCTAAGAACAAAATATTTTGTTATTGGATAAAGCGTTTTTATAAATACGTCGTGTATAATTGAAATATTACAAATATAAATAGCAGTTTCGAATAGCAATTCCTCCTGTGTTATAGATGTGCATTAAGGCTGGTTCTCAATTTGATTGAAAGGAATTATTTCTAAAATATAAGAACAAATATTCTTTTTCGAATAATTTGAAAACTGTGTTACCTGAAAAATTATAAAAAGTCATTTGAAATAAAATTACATCTTCTGAAAAGTATAATTGAAATCGTGTATAGCTAAGAAGAGATAGCTATAAGATACAAGTTATTTTAGTTTATTTTCGTGTTTTATTCGCATGTTTCCGTCGGACACGGTTATATCTATAAAAAAGAAAAATACCATTTGTTTTTTTATTATTGACCACAATGTTTAAAATACTCTGCTGTGGATGAACAATGAAGCTGGGCTTCAAAAAATAATCTGCCTTAAGTTGTAAAAAGTAAATATTATAAGTAGCTCTCCTTCAGAATCTTTCAAAATAAATAAAAACGTATGACAGAATTGGAATATTTGTGAGGAAGTCACGTAAATAAATAAAATAATTGAAAATTTCTTTGTTTTTTTTCTGAATTCTTTCCAGTTTCTTATATGATAAATTAATATAAAAATTAAAATAAAACTTATAAGTAAAATGAATTTACTTTGAATTTAATAGGATTTCTATACTTGGACAATCGAAAGATGTGAATATAAAATATATCGATCATAAAAGGCTATCGATTGGGAACGCAGTTAATGGAGGGAATTAGTCAGCAACAACGTCAGCAGGGAACTCCGGCATTCCTCGGCCATGACGTAGGCTCCCCGGGTTGGGGATTAGTCAGGCGGGGCACCTGGTGAAGGAGTCTGAGCCGACAAAAAAGGTGGTAACTAAGTTAGAGCTAATTAGCAGTACAGGGCGTTCATTAACACCAGCTGTTAGAACATCAAAAAACGGACACAAGACACAAATTTACTACCTAATTAAAGGACTAGCACACCTGAATCTGTTAACGTCTTTAAATGTTATTGAGGTCGTAAGATATGATAAGAAATACCTGGACCGAATATCATTAAAGCATCCTTTACAGGGTCATCATTTCTGTCGCGTTAGGATTGACAATACAGTGTTAGGAAATGATGAACAGCTGATTTCATGGTAACCAAGGTAACAATTTGTAAATTAAATTTATACTATTTATTAGTTTACAAATGAAATATTCGTTTTTTATCCTAAAAATTATGATAATGATATTATAAGGCTACTGTTAGAACAAAATATCGTATGTAAAAATTGAGCTTTTTTACAGAAGAGCATAAAAACTATGGGCTGTAGCAACGTTAGGTTGGGTGACCTCTAGGCTATCCGTGCTGCCACTTACAATATACATCTGTAAGAACATCATACCTCGCGGTCAGATATCTATCTACATGGTCTATTGCGCCAACAGAAAAAAAAGGAAATATTAACGTATTTTAATAATTATCATCAAAAATTATTTTAACAATTAATTAGGGTAACTTAAATTCTAAGAAACGAAGTAAAATAATTACATGAACAATTTTATTAAATCACATATTGTCAAAGCACATGGTTGAGTTTTGGACTTTCCAATTTGATCATACCTAAACTAATATATTCTATAAATGAACACCAATTCTTTCATGTACACCATAGTCTACTAGTTTTCATTCTAGAATTGAAACCTATTCCAAGAATTGAAAAAGGTAAAAACTTTAATAATCTTTAAAAATTTTATGAATCAATGAAGTTCAGAAAAATTTAAAAGACTAGAATATATGAGAAAAAATGTTTTCCCAATCAATCATTTATTATTTCGAGGAACTCTTTAAAAATCCTTTTTATTTCCAAAAATTAATTTTCATTTTATTTTATTTTTTTTATATCTGACAACGTTTGGGGTAACTTTGCTCATTTTCAAGTCATCAAGAAATCATATTTGACACAATATTAATGTATATAAAAATTTATCAACACATTCAAAATAAAATAAATTTTTTAACAATATAGTTTTTAGACATATAAATATTTTTCAACACAATAATTCCTCTTTTTGCACTTTTTTCCCAGATATTTTTGACACTTACAAACCAAACACCTAAATCGAAACATCTTTTGTAATATGTCCACATCGGAGTTCTGGCAATGGTCAAATTCTCTACTCAAGAATGAGTGTATAGTCAAAGCACTCTCGATCAATTTCCATTGGCTTTAATAATAGTAACGCAGTTGACAGAGTAGCCCAGGGATCTCCTGTAGTTCTGTTTTCCCTCTATCGTTAGAGGGGCAAGCCTGCCTCTGAGTTCCCTTGCCTGATTGTAAATAGTGTATAATCTCCGATTTTTTAATTTACTCATTTTTAAGTTATTTTACATTTATTTATTTTACATACTTTATATTGTTATTTAGTAGTTATTTTGCGTCTGTTTATCATATATCTATTCTGTATATATGATATGAATATGGTCTTACCTTACTGTAACTATTGTCCACTTTACAGAACGTTATATTATTATAAAAAAAATAACAACGAAACAGTTTTAACTCAAAACAAGAGATTTTCAAGTTAGTTGAAATCTAATAAATAATTTAAATAAAAAACAATCAAAAGTGCATTTGAACAAAATAAATCAAAAGTAGGACAAATAACGATGCACTGTTGGACAAAAGTATGATATTTTTAATCTATCGGAAAAATGAAACGTTGCACATAAACCCGATGGAAGTTATTGATGCAACCAGAGACCTACAAAACTCTCTAGAAAGTCGCATTGCATAAACCTCACCGAGGTGCATAACAGTCATCACAATGCACCTGTAAGACGTATTTCATAATGAACCAACTATAAACACGAGATTTCTATGAATAGAATACGGTAAGGATCAACAATTCTAATTTAACGTGTTTATCAGTGAAATCAGAATAAAGAATTTTAAGTTCTAAAATGTACCCACATTCACGTATCTCGGTTCTGCCCTAAATAATGAAAATGTAATTAGCAGAGATATAGACAACAGAATAATGGCTGGTAATAGAGCTCACTAGGCAAACCTAAAAGTTCTCAAGTCTCCATTTTTGCCATAAGCCACAAAATTAAAGCTGTATAAAACGCTTCACCTATGGAGCGGAAACCTGGTGTTTATCGCAAGAGGATTGCCGTAAACTAAAAGTATTCGAAAGGAAAATAATAAGAAGGAATTACGGTGCTACAGATGTTAATGGTGGGTGGAAAATCAAAAGTAACAATGAAATCAAGGCTATATTAGAGAGTCAAAACATTACTAACTATATAAAGGTAAGTAGACATAGATGGGCAAGAGATGTGGTCAGAATGGAGAATGAACGGGTGCAGGGGAAAATATTGGAAGCACACTCAATTGGGATGTGAAAAGAGGAAGATTGAGAAGCTGATGGGAGGAAGAAATGAAGAGAAACGCGAGGAAGCTAGGAGTTCGCAATCGGAAGAGAGTGGCACAGGACAGAGAGAAGTGGAGAAAAATAACTCAAGAGGCCAAGGGTCATGCTGGCCTGTAGCGCTGGGGAGTTTTTTTTTTTTTATTAGAATGAATTCTAAAAACAAAAGGTATTTAATAGAGAAGTGACTCATTCCAACTTCAAAGCGACAACAATAAAAGTCATTAAGAAAATTTGGAGATTTCAAAACTCAGATGCTTTATTGAAAAAATTAAAATTTGATATCACTCTAATACAATTTTAAATATGATTTATTTTTTTATACAAGTTCTCAAATATCAGATCTCACTTATGCATATCAAATGACGAGAGAACGAAGCCCTATTCAAAGCTGCTATGACGGTGGAGATTAGTTTCACATTACCATTTTATCCAGAAGTCAATTTTCATTCCATCAAGGAAACTTTTTTTTCATCAACTGTTTATTCACTATTATTATTTCCAAGTAAACAATATCTTAATCTATATCATTATACAATTAGGCAAAGTTAAAATGATTAAGTCCATTTTCTCCCTGTTCCTCAACCGATTTTAATTTTTTGATTAGAAGCTATTGATGAGCTTTAGTGTTATCAATAAATAAAAATAGGTAACAGTGTATATAAATAAGAATATATTAAGTTTGTTGAAAACAGCCTAATCTCCGAAAGTTCTTCACCGATTGCTTTGAAACTTTGATGTAATATAACGTTGCTATCAAATTCAAGAATGTTTTTATATACATTTCATTACCATACGGCCACATTTACAGAAATGTTCCTGAATACCCAACAAAATTTTTAAAAAATCGTCGATATCAAAAGCGTTTTAAACCTATGAGTATCTGAAAGCTTTCTATATTTCCTACAAAATTAAAGAAAAATTATCAAGATTGAAAATGATAATTTTTTTTCCATTTTCTTAGGTTTATAATTAATAGGAGAGCTGTATTGTGACTAATTTATGTTTGAAATATAGTTAAAATATAAGTACTATATTGAAATTAAACAATTTGTACCGAACAGAGGAGCAAAGTGATTCGAAATATTTTTTAAAGTAGAAACAAAATTAAGAAGGCATGAAAAAGGCACTTATAATCCAAAATGAACTCGGATGAAATATAGGTTACACGGCTACTCAATTATAATTCGATCAATGCAACACTTTTGAGCGCCGACTTATTTATTCCTCCGTTTATATTTTAAGTACAATATAAATCTTATATACGTCAATTTTATTATTTGATTGAATTGTTTCAAAGGGATTTTTTGTTATTATTGTTTCAAACGGAACAAGTTTCAGTGGTGCAAATCAAATATTATTTATCTGCTTTGTATGAGATAATAAGCAATTTCCGCAAATAATTTACTATATATACATCACCTGTACATTACAAAGCACACATAGAAGCAAATGAGCTTTGCCATACAACTCTATGTATTTCGATATAATCGGCTCACCATACAGCCTTCTTGACCGTATTGAATTATATTCGCTGGCACTAAGTCGGTTGGCAATTAGCTTATTTAGAAGATATCAAGGGGCTTGTTGCATGGAGCTCGGTTCACATTTTACCGTCTTCTTGTTTTCCTCAAGCGTCATTCAAAACAGCCTCAATGCTTAATATAGAATAAAAAAAATTTCTATCTACCTCAGGTTCCACATTAATGCTTAATCATTTATCGAAAAAGGTTAACCACACTTAAAAAAGGAATAGATGAAAGATTTTAAATTTTTATTAGTAACATTATACCATTATTCATTATAAACTGTCTTTCTTAGATTATTCATTTGTTTGTGGGATCTTTAAACGATTAATTTTAATTATATGATTAATTTATTAATATGATTAACCTATATACAAAAAGATCTCTGTTAATCCGACAGATTTTATTTTACAAATAAGGACATTTTTTTAAAAAAAAATTTTCATTTTCTCTTTATCTCAACTTTTTGCCCATAAAGACCATTCTCAAAACAGAACACTAGCCATAAACTAACTATTTAAAAATATGTTTATAGTTTACTACTATCTTTTTTTTTTTTTTTTTTTTTTTTTTTTTTTTTTTTTTTTTATTTGTTTTCCACCCTCCCATGCCACCAGGGCAACACGGGTGTATGCAGTAGTGTGATGTTAAGCATTAATGCATAATAACACACTACTGCCATAATATCAGTTTACAAAATTCTAAGCTGTGCACACAGCCTAGCTCTTCTACTTTTTCCTGGATCCTTTAGGCCTGGATTCCCGAATCCGGAGGTCTTCCTGGGACTGGTCCTCTTCTCCTTCTGTGTGCACCTAGGTTAAAGTGAGCTGGGCCCACCGCCGTCTTCCAGCCATTTATAAAGTCTTTGAACCGCGGAAAGTTTTCTTCACTCACCAACTGAGGAAACTCCTCCTCAGTGAGGACGTAAATTCCCGTCGTTCTCATTAACCTCGCTCTTAATTCGTCGAAAGCAGTGAATAAATACATCATATTAAGAAATACATAAATATATCTAGTTTACTACTCTATGACAGCAGTTTTTTAGTGAAAATTATAAGTATTTTTTTGTTTCTTATTTTATCCACATCCATAAATAGCCATTTTTTTCTTCCTCATTTTGTCAAAAACACCTTTCCATATTCATTTACACACTTTTATTTTTCTTCAAAACATGAACTGTTATAATATTATAATAAGGAATAAGAAATATTCTGTGAAAAAAATGAAACTGTGTGTTGAAAGCAATGAAGATAAGCAAAGGTGTTTTTGATAAAATGGGGAAGAACAATAAGGCCATTTGGGGATGTGGAAAAATAAGAAACAATATATATATATATATATATATATATATATATATATATATATATAATTTTAAGTAAACAATCACTACCATAGAGTAGTAAACTATAAAAATATTTATAAATAGATGGTTTATGACTATTGTTCTTTTTTTTTTTGGAATATTTTTATATGACCTTTAAGGACGAACATTAAAATAAAAATAAAAAGTTATTTATGGAATGAAAATTGCGGGATTATAGAGGTCTTTTTATATGAACGTTAATAATATATTGATTTAATATAATAATTACATCATTATATTATCAGTTTATTAGTATTATTAATGTTCAATTTTTATTTCTAGATAAGTTTAGTAGTCGCCAGCTCAACAGATGAAGTCCGTATTTTCTGTAATTGTTATTTTTGTGAATTATCAGAGAAAAGACAAAGCACTCGGAAGCAGATAAGGTCGCAATTCTTCTGGCCAGTTATTTTTAGCCCATGAAAGGTCAAATAGGCATTTAGGAGGCTGTGTGAAACAATTTAATGTTTTTGCGTCTATAATTATCTCGAAAAGAAACATCGTGATTAATCCCATCAGTAAAATATTAGATACAATAAATAAATTATAAATGAATAAATAAATATTCCATACGGTGTCTTACAGCTAGTTAAAAATTATCTAGTAAATCACTAAATACATTTTATGGTTTACAAAACAAATTTTATGCAAATGACATTTTAAATTTATTTTGTAAAATGTTTAAGAGCTCTGCTAAGAAGCTCCATATACACAGAAACACTCACAGGTTTCATTTCTCATGACATAATTTTATATGTATGTATATATATTTAAGTGAATTTCGATATAAATATTTTAGGATATTCTTACTAACCTTACATCATATGAAACTATAGTTGAAGTATAAATACAGCCAGTCAACTTACCTGTAAAAAAAATTTATGTTGAGTTTATTATTATTAAACATAATTAATAGCTAAACAATAATAAAGCCTTGAAGCTAATCATATTAAACCATAATGATGAAGAATCAATTAAATCAATAATATAGTTATATAAATAAATAAAGACCACATTTCATACCAAAGCAATAAATAAATACTGATAAAATAATACTCGTATGTATATAAACTAAGTATATGAAGAAAATCAAATCGGGATCATAAATTTCTTGTTAGGATATGAATGAAAGATTTTCAAAAACTAAAGTTTCGTAAATCGAGATGTCAGCAGGAAAGAAAAAAATATCACATATATATCTAATAAAATATAAAAATATTTCTACACAATATTGCAGGAAGAGCAAATAACGTAGTAACAGATGCAAAATGTTATATTGAAACAGCTGTAAATAATATTATGCAATATATAACCTTTCTCAGGTATTTTTATATTACTTTCTTTTCCCTTCAGTATTTGCTTAAATGTGTTGGGATGATATACTATCTCAAGCAAATGTCATTTTGATTAGAGATGTTATGCGTTTCGCCTGCATTCATCTGTTTTTTAATAGCTTGTGTGCCTTAATAACAAAAATGACTTCATGTTTTTTTTTCGTATTTAATAATTGGTAATTTTATATCGTCCACCGAAATTTCGGAGCTTATTCTGGAAATAGGGTCATTTACACATCACGTGTACCAAAAAGGCACGTGTAATTAAAACTTAACGCGAATGACATAACAGTAATCATCTTGTTCATCAAGACAACATAATATAGGAGTTATGGTTCCTCCAAATTAATTTACTGTGTTTCAAATTTGTGAATTGAGTTGCTGTCGGAAAAGTTGTTCATACCTTCTCAAATTTTTTCTCCAACCCCACCCCCGCCATTTCGATAAATTAAATTTGAAAAAAAATTAATAAAATATTCAAAAATAAAACATTCAGCAGATCAAATAATTTTATTATTATATTGAATTTGCTAGGGTAAGTATTTGTGGTATACATCATTTTATTTCTAAACAAAAATGAGAGAAAATATAAACTGAGTGATGTTTTCCTGCGGACTTTTATGTATTTTTAAAATATTTTTATAAAATGTTTTTATAAGTTTTAGTTAAGTAGTTGAATGAATAGTTTAAGTAAATTGTTAAAAATAAGATTATTTTAAAGAACTGTAGTTCTAAGTGAAACTCCTAGAGGAACACACCTCCCTGATGAAGACCTGCAAAGTCGGGTCGAAACGTTGGCTTTTAATAAAATAGTTTTGCCACTATTTAGCCTATTTATGACCGCAACCCCGGACCATCTCCTTCCTTTTTTATTTGTATTTGTGACATAGACTATGGGAGATGGCGAGGGGGATGATTGCCCTCCTAATACTAAATAGAGAGGAAGTGAGAATATCTTTTCGCCTTTTCCTCCAATATTTCGAAGAACAATAATAAAATAAAAATCAATAACAATTATTCTATATGAATGAATAAAATATGTTAACTAAAATCCATTAAGGGAGTAGGAATAGTCGACTAGAAGGCTGAACTAAGCCCTAGAATAAGGTAGGCAAGTATTTAAATTCTATGATTCTATTATTGGATATTTTATATTAAATAGTTAAGATTTTACTATTCATTTATATGCACACTTCCAAGGCAAAATTTGGAGCTTTAAGAGTTTATCTCATTGTATCAAATCTTTAAGTAAAAATAAAAAATATGTAATATATTCAGTCGTTTTCTTAAAATGTTTTCAAATACATATAAATTTATTTTTAAGTATAGTATTATGCTGTTCGTTTTATAATAAGTATATTGACAATTTTAATTATCACTTATTATTTTTATACATAAACTCCTGAAAAAAAAATTTTTTGGGGGGGAGGAGAGCCCATCGCCACCCCAACTAGAATGGAAAATATGCCCCTATGATTTGTGATTATTTTTGTTTGTACAAAACTAATATGGTGGCCAAACTATTTATTCAATTTTTTTTAGTATTTTTTCTTTTATACGCATACATGTATCTATATCTATATCTGTATATGTATATTTCAGTGACTTTTCTTTTTCTTTTTCCTCAAAAATTTCGAAAGTACTGATATAGATAAAAACAACATAATATAGATTTTTCATTTTTATTTTATTTCAGATACAGAGAGCAACACTAATATGTTGAGGAGCTTACTTCTTTCTAAGCAAGAAGTAGCTTTGCTTTGCCTAGTAGATGAATGGATCAAAGAAATTTGGACAGGGATCCACCAAAAGATCCATAAGCCACAAAGCGGGAGCGAAGTCAGTGTCCTCGGCCGATGGCTGGCTAATAAAGCCCCAAGATTGATGGAGCTCGCTAGTGATAAGGCCTCAGCCTCGAGGATGGAGTATCGCCTCTCCATTGTCTACTCAGCTATTAGTCTTCTTAATGGCTACCTGAGAGCAAAGCCAACTACCAAACATATAGTCCCGATTTCTGCTTGTTCCAAAAACGTTTGCTCCACAGATATTGATTCATCCATTCTATAGAACAATAGCCTATAGTAGCTATACAGAGTAAAGAAAATAATAGGCAGCATTTACCTATTAAGGTCACCCGGCGAAGAAAAACGCTACGGGGAATCAATGAAGCGGTTACTAACAACGGCGAAAGAAAAGGCTTCTCAAGGCCAATAAACATCCGCATAATAATTCTACAAGAATTGATATACATTCATAAAAAATGTTACAATTAATTGAATGAATTTATTTTATTATGATTCGTCATAAGTCAATGACTTCCTGCCCTACAGTATCATTTAATAATACCCCATTTATTCCTCTTGAAATTACCTACTGTCCTTGGACTCGATCTGTTCGAACGTCTTGCTCATAAAAGACTGAAACGCCAAGAACCTAGTAGACGTTTCTAAACTAACTGTAAAAGACTCATTCACTTGACTATTTGAAGAGCTATCTAGACTTATGGAGTTGGAGCTACAAGACTTATTGAAGTTGAGTTTTGGGGCTCCACTAAACCAGTAAGTTCTTCTTGAATCCAATCCTTGCAATTCAAAATATTTTGAACATTCCTCAATGTTTCTTACTTAGTCACAAATAAAATTATCCTTAATGAACTTCATTCTTCATATTTAGCCGATTTAACCAAGCCTAATCCAGATACCTATCCTTCCATAACAAACTCAAGGTCCATCCAAACTCACTGGTTTCTAACTTCGATTCCTGACAACCCTCATGGCGTCTGAAAAAGGATGGCCTCCGGACTTACCCATAAAAAAGCCAAAATCAGATTTCTCTCAATGCGTAATTTTTTTTATAGTCTGTACATGGCATATTACCAATTCACATAGACTTGTATTTTTATTTTTTTATAAATATATTTGTTGTAAATTTCAATAAAAAATTTATGAAAAAATTAACTAACAACTAAGTTATATTTCTATCATCCTTTTGCTGCTCGCATATTTTCCGTATTCGATACATATTTTCTCGGCTTTATTCTTTGGCACTTCTTCCATCAGTTCGCAAAGTATGATCTTTTGATCTAAAATTGATTCTGTTATAAATGTATTCTTGTTCAATCCCTAATAAATTTTATGTCCATTTTCCCTTCACTAATCTCAACCATTGACCACTTTCATATGGTTTTTATAAAATTCAACTTCATGACTGCTAAAGTAGTTAGGTTTCATTCTTTTGATATGTTCACAAAAACAGTTTTGCATTTTCTAATGTCATAATGAACATCTAATATGAGTAGTTCATTATTTAATCCATGCTTTATTTCTGAGACTATTGGTCGTTAGTGAATTTTAATTCCAGAATTTTCCTAATTATCATGTTTCTCTATCCGTTTCCCCGTTCAAAATCTGGGTTTCTGATCCCTAGATGGACTCCGACTTGATCATTGTATTGTAGTCTCCTTTTGGGATATTTTGGACGATCGGATAGCCTGTTTTTATTTTGACTTTCTTATGATTATTGGAACACAAACTGCATTATACCTGATATCTTTAGCTGTTTAAAGAAATTAATCGAGATTTTAACTTCGGAAAAACAGAAATTTCATGTATACGATATATTTTAAATATTTTATATAAATATTTAATTGAGGAGACGAAATATATTTTTAAGAATAGATATCATAACGTAATATAACCATCTATAAATAATAAATTCATAATAATGGAAATCAATAATGGATTCGGATTCACTTAAAACATTTAGGACAAAAATTGAATCAAATATATAACATACAATAAAGATTTTACCTTTAAAGTTTAATGGCTGCGTGCTACAATTTTTTTATGATGCTAGTTAATAATTTTCGTAACGGGTAGAGGGTAGAGATGTTATCAAGCCAAATCGTTGTATTTAAAATAAATAACGATAATAATAAAAGAATTTTGCAATCCAAAGGTTAGATGTAGATTTTACTAACCGTCCATCATACACATTCACCCTTCGAGTAAAAATTATATGATGATTCTGTTTTTGAAAAAAAAAAAATATATCCTATGAACTAATAAAAGCCCTCAACAAAATAAAAAATGGTACTTCATAAACAGTTTTCAACCTAATTTTAACTAATTAACTAATAACTAAGTATGTTAATGTCATAGCTTGGGTACAATTATATGACCTATCGAGGACGAACCTATGCCGTTTTAAATTGAAACTTACATTTTTTTATCTCCTAATTTACAACTTATTTACAACATATTTAAAAATATAAATAAATAATATTTAATTTTGTAATATATAATTTTAAAAAAAATTTAACATTAGGAGCGCAGGAGTTGGCACATGGGATACTAACAAACTGTGATCAATAGAGAATCATTTTATTTTCATAAAAGGGTGCTGCTCCATTATATTGGGTTGCTACAGACACAGCATAGTTATCAATCAATACAATGGACAATCCTTAAAACTAATATACAAATATACAGTATCATCAATATATATGAGCGTTGTAAATAATTATTAACATTATATTTTCCTTTCTTTCTCTTCTCTTATATATTCCTCTTATTCTTCCCCATGATTCCCCCTTCTCTTTCTAATCTAATTCATACTTTCTGAAAACGAAGTATACAATAATGACAAGAAAAAAAAGTGCACAAACAATAACAAAAAATTAAATAAAATGTATATATACAAATCCCGTTATAACTTGCTAGATGAGATAATGAATTTTCATACAAAAAAAGGTGAAACATATTATATATGGATTATAATATAACATAATATATTTTGGATGAATATTTATATATATATATATATATATATATATATATATATATATATATATTATAAACGTAACAAATAATAAAATATATTAGTTACAAATAAATACGCAGTTTTGATTAAAATCATTAAAAATTAAGCAATTTTGAAATACATTCAGAGAAATATCCTTGTCATATATAAAATTTATGATGGAAAACGTCTAAAATATTTATGCTACATGGCAATTATCATAACTTGATTTATCACAAAACCAAATCCAATTACTCAACGAATCAGTACTGTTACGCATCCAAACGTTTATTTGCATATCTAACTGTTGTATAATTAAATATAGTTATTGTTTGTGTGGAACAGATGTCCTCTTCTCAATATATATTGTTGACTTTACTCTGTATACACTGCCTTCCTCTAAGCTCTGTTTACAAGAGAATGATAAATTCAGGATTATTTATAGAAAAGAGCAGTATAGTTACATGGAAGATTTATATGGCCTATATTTTACTGTAACAAATCTTTCATTTTTGTTTTATTTTGTATTTTAGTAAATAGGTTTGTTTACTGGAAAACAATGTCAGCAAAGTTAAAAATAAAACACAATAAATAAAACTTACTGTGTTAGGTAAAATTTTGAATGGTCATAATTAGTGTTGTCCAAATGCGAGACCAAGAAGAGTCTTAGTCTTGCGCACTCAGTGTAGTTCTTGGTCTTGGTCTTTCGCAAGAGTCTCGCAACAGTTTTACAGTTACCTATTACTATACTGCTTATTACTATTACTGCTTATTACTATACAGATATTACTGTAATTATTTAGACGGGAGAACCTTAAATAAGCCTAAATGAAAAAACAAAAGAATTAAATGAAAAATTATACTGGCTATAGCAATTCTTAACATATAGTAGCCGAAATCGTCAAGTATTAGTAACTATTTTACGTTAATTTTTATTCGAAAATATTTTTTTTTTACCAGTGTTGGTCTTGGTCTTCCAACAATTAGACGGAATTGGTCTTGGTCTTGCAAAGTGCGATTTTGGGCAACTCTAGCCATATTTATCAAAAATTAAGCCAAGGGAATTACAATTGTTATAAATACCTACTTATATTTTCTTTATCTTTTTAAAAAAACTAATATTTAATTTTAGACGATCCCGTAATTTAGCACGTTGGACATAATAATGTGCAAATTATTGCATTAGAAAAGCAGAAGTATACTTGATGTCATTTAAAAATCACATTATTCGTGAGATTCAGAGACTCACAGTCAGGGAGTAACGAACTTTATATAAATATTTTGGTGACACTACACCAACAAATATTTGACACATGTCCCGGTGTTCGTTCCAATGGGTCCAAGAAGTCGTGAAAAATCAAAGGATATTTTTTTTTTCACAAACGCTCTAAACTTCGAATTATTTATAGAAGGCTCTTTTACATGACTATAATGACACCTATATTAGCATATGGAATTGAGCTTTGGGGTTCCACTAAAACATCGAATTCCTCTCGTATCTAATCCTCACAATCCAAAATCCTTCGTAAAATCCTCAACACTCTTTACTTTGTCAGAAATAAAATCATCCATAATAACCTTAATGTTCCACATGTTTCTGATTTGGTCCAATCCAGATACCTATTCTTTCATAACCAACTTCAGAACCATCCGATCCCTCTCGTTTCAACCCTTGTATGCTCCTCGATCCCTGATAACCCTCCGAGGCGTCTGAAAAAAAGGTGGCCTCATGATCTTCATGTGTAAATTTATTATTTGAGTGGTATCAGTGGGTAGTTTCTCAACAAGCGATTTCATGTTATTATATTCCTGAGTGCACATTTACTAGATGTATTTTTTTTTATAATACAGTTATAAATATCAATAGATAAAAATAAAGATTTTTTGAGATAAAAAAAAAAACGAATATCCATTTTTCCACCCTAAAAATATATTTACTCCTCCATTGCTACTTCGATTCGATATGATATTTTTTTTTCTAAACTGACCTAACAGCTAGGGTAAAAATTTTTTTAGGGAGAAACAATTTAGCACCACGGTAAAATCATAATGCAAATTTTTATAGCAATCTAAAAAGTAAGTTTTTTCAAGAAATATTTTCGGCAACTACAGGAATTGTGCTAATTTTAGATCGATTCACAAGAACATCATTCGAGCTTTAAGACTCTATTTGCTACACGGAATGGTTTAAACCTGATCACAAATCAGAACCAAAAATATGAAATAAAAATAATTGAGATGTATTACCTAAATTCTACCTTAAAATTTAAAAGTAATTCATGTGGCCTGTAAGAGCAGTAATTCAGCTTTTCAAAGTTTTCCCTAACGTTGAATTTGAATA